AAAGAGTGACAAACTGTCACAGACCAGAGACTAGGCAGACATGACAACTAAAATGCAATGTGTGACGCTGGACCAGATCCTGGAACAGGAAAAGGACATGAATGGAAAAACTGGAGAAATCCAAATAGAGTGCAGATGTTAGTTAATAGTGATGCATCAGTTCTGGTCTCTCAGTTCAGACAAATCTACCACGGTAATGTTAAGATATTAGCAATGGGGAAAACTGGACATGGGGTATATAGGGACTTGCACTACCTTTGCAACTTTTCTGTAAATCTAAAATCATTCCAAAATAAATATTTTTAAAAATACACATAACAATTATCCATCCCTATGATTCAACTACACAAAAAACAATAGATGGATATAAAGACAGACTGGAAAAACAGTGGTTTTATGTGACTAGGGAACATTAAGTCTTTTCCCTTTACTACGATAATGCTGTTTTAAACCTCCCAAAGCAGCCCCTGATAACTAGGAACATATATGCCCTTGGTGAGGCAGGAGAATCACATGAGTCTGAGAAAAAGGAACTACAACATTATCTTCCTAGAAGAAGACAAAGTCCAGTAGTGTCAACTGAAATGACAGGGAGAGAGAGCAGAGGTGACACACAGCACACCTCAGCTGGTAGGACAAGGCAGTGCTTCTATCTGGGAAATATGTGCTGTGTCCCCTTCCAAGCCTCAAAAATCACCAGAATTGCCCTTAGTGATTTCCTGGGTTGGGGGAAGACATCTCTTCGTTTGCTAATTTGTAGACTTTTGTACATATTTATTACTCTAAACAATTTATTTGCCCCCCAAAAATGACAGAGGACAAGATAGGACGCTCATCACTACAGAAGAAGTCACGAATCCATGTTTAAATCCAGTTACCTTATGTAATCGAAGGTATACATGAGCCGAAGAGAGTTTGTCCACATGAAACCTACAAAGAATGAAAACCACTTTTAGCACGAGGTACAAGATGACCATCTCCTCAGGCCACCTGCATTTAAAGCATCGCAATCCAAAAATATTAATTCAGTGCCTACTGCACACTGAGCACGATGGGGGGCAGAAAACAGTCACCTCCTCCAAAGAGCTCACTATCAACTGGGAGACGTGAGAAAAACATGGAAAGATCTGCAGCTGTGTGAGACTAAGTACCAAGATGAGTACAGGAGGCAATGAATGTTAAAAGCCCAGGGAAGGGTGATTTTTCAAGTGAGAAAGAGCTATCAGTGACCCAAGGCTTCAATGATGAACTGAGACTTGGTGGGTCCCAAGCTGAACCACGGGACTTAGAGCAAACACGGGGAAGGAATTTTAGGCGAGAAGAGAAGGGAATGAAAGAAGTCAGCAAGACTCCAGGGTTGCAAGCCTGGGAGACTCACAGGACCACTGACAGTAACATCTTACAGTTGGAGAGGGAGCCAGTTTGGCAAAAAGATGACAGGTTTGGTTTGGGAAATGTTGAGTTTCAAGTGATGGCAAAACAATCCAAAGAGAATGTCAATCACAGACATGGAAGAGTCAGGTGAGGACTGAAGCAGTAAGCAGACCACATCACCAAATGAGTCAGACCAACAATTCATCCAGCCTTACCTCTGACAATGACACTAATACGTGTCTCCTGGGAAAGCATGGTGATTGCCCTTTATGACGCTGTCCTAAAAGTATTCAGAATGCCCTCTCACCCCAGTATCCTAAATATACCTTTCATTAAGGCTCTATCGTTCACCAATTTAATTAAATCTTTTAAAACTTACTTCTTTTTTCACCTAGTTCAACATTTGGGGATTTTAAGTTTTTCATATTTACAGTTCACCAAATGAAGTTGACCCGCTCTTTCCAACACCCAGAGAGGCCTCCAGAATGTTAGCCAACAATGGTAACACACGACTGTCACTTCGTGATTTCTGTTAACTTTACTCTTCTCTTCCTTAGTCCTTTCCTTTCCAGACTGAGGAATGTTCAGTAGAATCCTAAGGAGGCAACGTCACGTCCCATTATGTATTTCTTTAGACATTTTCTTAGCATTAATGGTGTTTTAGAGCTGAAAATGGTTACACACTCATACCTGGTCCAAGATGTAGGCAGTGTGATTCTATATAAAGGTCAAGATTTGCTGTTTCTCATGCCCTCTTTAAAAAGGTTAAGCATCTTGCTAGTCACTCTGGATAAAGAAAATGTTTACACATTTTTGGCAGTCTATCATGACTCTAGGTCTTATTCCTAACCATTAGTGATAGCCAGAAATGAATACAACATCTTAGTTTGATTTATTTTTTTCTGCTGGTTCATTTACTTATTTGCATTCCCACGTAAGAGATTCCTACTGATTATCATCTTCAGCTTGGCGTTTTCCAGCCAGAAAATGTGTTTCTTTGAAAATCTGGAAATTATACCTCACTACTCTGTTTCAGAATCTTAGGAAAATACCCCATTAGTAAGCAGGTTCAATTGAGAAAACTTCTCCCATTCCAATTTGTTTTAAGTTCTCTATTTACAACAACTCTTTCCTACATACCCATAGTAGCTTGACTGTATTCTGATTTTCCTTAAAGGTCTCTGATGTGGAATTTTATCAAAAGACATACACAAGTAGTTTAATGTATATACACACTGGGTTCATACATAGGCAGTCAAAGTCAAACACACCCGGGAATATCACTGCTGATTTACACCAACTTCAGGCTTGTAGGTACACCTCTACAAAGTGCAAGGGGAATGCATGTCCCAACGGTGCTTTGGTTGAAATGTAAAACAAACAAAAAACTCAGTTCTGTAAACAAACTATTTTGAGCAAATTTCCTTAAAAAACCTTCCAAATCTCCCAAAATGCTCACTCCAAGTTTAAATTATGCCCACTAGTTCCCTAGTTCCCTCTCTTCCTTGTTACCTTCCTCTCCCTGCTTAATCACTATTACTCTTTATTGAATGCAGAGACTAGAAACATGAGCATCCCTGACCTGAGAATGCAGGGATGCACGGGACCCCAAGCTGGGTCATCTAACTCCTTAAAGTGGGGTCTCTGGAAATACTACTCATTAGGGGGTTTGGAAGCAGTGAACGCAAACTCTTTGTATTTTCCTTTGTTTAAAATGAATTTAGTTCCATTCTCATTTAATCCTAGAAAAATTCTTTGCTTAAAAGCACCTTAGGAGGTTTCCTGGTATAAACTTAGATGTTGACATTCCCAGAGGTTAAGTTCCAGGTTAAAAATCTGCCCTGGAATGTAGATCAACTGATTCATTCTCTGCACGCCCAGGAATGTTTCCAGGATTGACAGTTTATTAACTGTAACAGGTCTTGAAATTTAGGGCTATGCCAGCTCACATCTGACCTAGGATAGCTTCTGGAAGTAAAAGTCAATCACTTCCGACAACAGACATTAAATCTCAAGATTAAAGAGTGTCGAAATGGCTATCGGGCAGCTATAGACACCAGTCTGGTAAGTGCCTTCCAGAAGTCTACCTTAACGAAACGAAAAACCCAAGTCATGATACATGAGGTGTAGGTTGTAAACTGGAAATTTCTCTTCCACTTAATTTTTTTTTAAATGTCAAGTAAAAGGCTGTAGTGAACTGACTTTCATGGTGCATCTGAGTATGTTACCTTTCCTATGCAGGTATTTCTGCCCCAAACCTTACAGCAGGTAACTGCGTAACAGGTGTGATCATCCTTATCTCTTGTGTGACAGATCTGGAGATCTTTGGGGCCCTAAGAACAACTGAAATAATCCAGCCAAGGGTGACAGGTACTCAAAATGGAGATGACCAGAATGCAGTTACTGTGAAGAAATGTCCAGCAGAGATCATTTCCAGATAGGCAGAGAGCTAGTCAATTGGAAAGTCCACATCTATTGAACACTTACTATGTGCCAGGTTCTATGCTAGGTAGTGGGACAGAGTAGTAAACAAACCGGGTGGATCACTGTCCTGGGCTGGGCGGGGGAGGCAGGGGAGCAGAGCTTATAGTCAAGCATCCTAGGAAGGTAAGCAGCACCCAATGCAGAAGCCCTGAGCAGTGCAACCTGCCCACCTGAAGTATGGTGGCACCAAGCAGTGTCTACCTTGATGACATATGTGAGTTCAGAGGATGGGTCGCTGTGCTGGAACAGGGGGCTGATAAAAAAAGCCTTTAAACTTCCTCAGATTTCTAGTGCCTCTTGGTTCCTGGAGTGTGGACTTCAGAGAGGGCAGACAGCCAGGGAAGCATTTCCACGAGGTTAGGAGGCGGCTCCTTCACAATGAAGTAGGCTGGAGCCACAGAGGCGCCCTTCAGTGGGCTCCTGCAGGCAGGCCTGGGGGTTCCGAGAATGGCTACATCTAGGGAGTAGCTTAAGTTAGTCTCTGGGCAATATCTTTCCTACCAGATGTCCAATGCTGCATACCTTACTGAAAATCAGTCAACTCTTCTAAAAAGTGGCAGCCTAAGCTCTGTCACTATACGGAATTAAGTGAAGGATCTGGGCCCAAACAGCCTGAGGGAAGACAGAAACAGGGATCTAGAACTCGAGCTGGCTGGGGGCCAGCAACGACCCCAGTGGATCTGTTCAGTTTCCCTTAGCCTGAGTTTCCTCATCTGAAAAATGGGCATAATATTGGTAACTATTTCACAGGGTTATAGTGAAATGCAATATATTAGTGGAGGTAAACACTCAACAGGATCTGGCCTACAGTTTATGTGTTTGGTCAATGTCCATTACTACCATCACTAAAGCCAACAGGATCCGAGTGTTTCTCCTCAGAGACGGCATTTGGTAGGGGGGTGTTAGGAGCTGTAGAGACCATATCCCGCTCTACAGTAGGCAGAATTAGGCTCCAGGAGAGAGACATCACAAGGGTTAGAGGGAGTGGTAGAAGCTGCAGCTAGAAAAAGCAAGCAAAGTGAGTACGAGAGCATTACATGAAAGAAAAAGAAAGTAGCAAGAATCCATGAACTCCTCACAGGTTTTGGGTCTGAGTTGTAGAAAAGCCCATATAGCATCCTAAGGCAGTTAGAAAAAGAAAAGAATTCAACTAAAATGAAGGGTTTTTTTTCTGCATTTGTTTTGTTGTTTTTTTAGACTCGGTTTGGTGAGCAGCAACATAAAATTATCTTGGAAGGAGGCTAATAAAGAATATATTATCATTTTTGAAATTTCCATAAATTCTTTTAGAAAGAAGGGGTAGGGGCTGGATCAAGCCAGGGTTAAACTCTTTGTTGAGAAGACAAAAGGGAAGCCAGTCTGTGTTTTCTTTAAAGCTGGACCTGGTCAGATGCTCTACTTATTCCACCGACATGGAAGCTTGCATCTATTTTCTTCACTGCTTCTTGTGAAGCCTGCATCCGTCCACCCAAAAAGAGCAGTCTGAGTGTGTTAAGTGCAGTGGTCTCAGTAACCTACTATGAGGAGACACACAGGAGGTAAAAGCAAGCCTATGTTCCTGAGACCTTTGCAGTGAGGCCTGAGATCTAGCCCTAAGACCTCATTCCCAGTTAACGTGGTAATTATAAATGAAGGGAGCTGGCAGTCAGCTATTTACCACTGAATATTCATAGACAAAACGCAAAGCATGAGTTCTAGTTTTAATCACAGGAGTCAGCTGGTTGGTCAAGTCTAAGAAAGTAAATAATGATCCATAAAAAGCAGAACCAAAATTGCTACTTACCAAATATCTTCAGGCCAGCCATACTTTATCAGATCTTCATCTGCAGAGAGACAGGAGAACAAAGAAAAGGAAAAAAGAGAGAAATGAAGGTCTTAAGGGATATAAACTACTATGTATAAAATAAATAAGCAACAAGGATATATTGTACAGCACAGAGAAATAAAGCCATTATTTTGTAATAACTTTAAATGGAGTACAATCTATAAAAATACTGAATCAGTATGCTGTACACTGAAACTAATACAATATTTTATTTATTTATTTTTAAATTTTAATTCAGTTTTAAAAGTATTCTTTGGTTCTTTTATTTATTTATTTTTTGGCTGTGCTGCACAGCTTGAGGGATCTTAGTTCCCCGACCAGGGATCGAATCTGGGCTCTGGCAGTGAAAGCGCCAAGTCCTAACCACTGGACCGCCAGGGAATTCCCTAACATAATATTTTAAATCAACTATGCTTCAATAAAAATAATTTTTAAATTTTTAAATAAAACAAAACTAAAAACATGTTTTAAAGAGAAGGTTAAATGAAATATGCCAAAGTTTATCGTAAGCTGGGAAGGAAAAAAAAAACCAATCTTTTCCACAAAACTTTTTCTCTCCCTTAATAAAGAGTAATTCAAAGAGGCTTTGACGCTTGAAAAATACCAGAAAAAAATTTTTAATAGTTTTTACAACTGGACGATTATAATCATAATTTTGTATAACATTTATAATCTAAAGTTCAAAGATATTTCTATTTGAAGATAAAATTAACACTGGCAAATCAGAGCAACTGAGATGTTAGATAATGTCTTAGAAAACTGATTCACTATAACAATACTTATATTTTAAAATAGTTCTGCTACAACTTTAAAACCAGTGGACTGCATTTTACGTCTTAAAAATAAAAAAGCTTCTCAATTATAAAATTGTAGAAAATTAGGGAACAAAACAAACACCAAAAATATAAAAAAGAAAATAAAAATCACCTAAAATTCTGTCACATATGAAAATAAAAATAGAAAAAATAGGTAAAAGTTAAAGTAACTGTCTCTGAGAGTAGAACGTGGGTATTGAAAAGGATGGGGTAGAGAACTGATGTTTTTTACTATAAGCATTCTGTTATTACTTGAACTATTTTTTTTTTTTTTTTGCAGTATGCGGGCCTCTCACTGTTGTGGCCTCTCCCATTGAGGAGCACAGGCTCTGGACACGCAGGCTCAGCGGCCATGGCTCATGGGCCCAGCCGCTCCACGGCACGTGGGATCTTCCCGGACCGGGGCACGAACCCGTGTCCCCTGCATCGGCAGGCGGACTCTCAACCACTGCACCACCAGGGAAGCCCTGAACTTTTAAACTATATATTTGTTAGATAAAAATAAAAATTTTAGAAGTTCTTTGGAAAAAATGACTACTTGATTCTATCATATGGATAAACTTTTCTGTTGTTGACATTTGGATTGCTTCTAATAATAAATGCTTCAGTAAATACTTTTTAAATAAATATGTCCATACTCCTGATTATTTCCTTAAGGTGTATTTCTAAAAGGTGAAGTATTCGTTCAAAACATATGCATATATATGTTTGTTTTGTTTTGTTGTTTTTGGCTACACCACATGGCTTCCAAGATCTCAGTTCCCCGACCAGGGACTGAACCTGGGCCATGGCAGTGAAAGCACCAAATCCTAACCACTAGACCACCAGGGAACTCCTACGTATGTATATTTTTAAGGCTAATGATATATATCTCTACAGAAAGGTTATCTCAATATATACCTCTAATAGCCATATTAATAATTAGTAATACAGAAGCATTACTTAAATTATTAAACCTAAAGTTAAAAATTGTAAGGTAAAGTGATTCACATATGATGATTTAAAATGTACTCAAGTATAATCTATCTAACTTGAATGAGGTATTTATTTTCCAGAAAAGCAAAAAGATGATAGAGTACCCTCTTGGATGAGGGTACTCTAAGCAACTGCAGACACCTTGAGTTTTCTGAAGGGTTTTCTGCTAGCTTAAGTAAGAAGCTGAGCAAAGAGCCGACAAGTAATCAGAAAAATCAGAAAAAGGGAATTATAAAAACCTCTTTTCCTCATTTGGGCACTGTTTGGCTCCCTGGTGACACCTGCTGGCTAATAAAAAGAACACACCTGAAAGCTTTTTAGAGAAAGTGACTCATTCAACTTAAAATTCATTTATGTTCCATCCAGCCCTTAGCCTGAAGTCATCAAGGCTATTAGAAGTAAATGTGATGTGCTAGGAGCACTAGAGAACAGGCAACTTAAAAATGTAATGCTGGGCTTCCCTGGTGGCGCAGTGGTTGAGAGTCTGCCTGCCGATGCAGGGGACACGCAGGGGACACGGGTTCGTGCCCCGGTCCGGGAAGATCCCACGTGCCGCAGAGCAGCTGGGCCCGTGAGCCATGGCCGCTGAGCCTGCGCGTCCGGAGCCTGTGCTCCACAACGGGAGAGGCCACAGCAGTGAGAGGCCTGAGGACCGCAAAAAAAAAAAAAAAAAAAAAAGTAATACTGTTCTTACAAAGCAGACTAAGAGAGCTGGATAACTCTAAGAGTGCCTGGGGGAAAGTATTCTCCATACAGATTTTTTTTTTCTACATATACTTTAATGACAGCAAAACACCCCTCCAGTGGGCTCCAGACAGAATCTAAATTTATATCTGCAGACATAAACTCTGTATCTAGATCTTATCTGTAGAGAGAAATTCCTACAACGGAGGTTTAAAGGATTCATTCTAGCCCATCCTAACCCGCTCTT